ACCACCACCTCCCCCGCTCTCTCTGACCTGCCCGCGCCCTGCGGCGGCCGCCGCCGCCCCGCGCCCGTCCCCCGCCCGCCTCCTGGTCCGCGCTCCCCACGGATGCTTTACATAGTCTGCGGGTGTTAGCTGCTGCCCCGCGCCCGCCACCCGCGCGCCCTCTTGCCCCCGCCCCCTGCGCCCTTCCGCGATGTGACTCCATTTTGTGCGACTGTTAGTCGCTTTCCCGGCCGTCCCTGGCCCTTCTCCCCCCCATGCGGCCTGCGTCGCCGCTGTTGTCCGGCCGGGGGTGCCAGGGCCCGCCGCCGCGCGGCCGTGGCCTGCCGCCCCCCGCTGCTCCCCGCCTCCGCTGGCGCGCCCCCCCAGTCCGCGACGCCTTCCCTTGGGCGCCGGTGCCGGTGCCAGCGGCCCCGCCGGATTGGACTGGCCCCCCGCGCCGTCGCCTTCGCCCGACGTAGTGCCCGCGCCTCTACCTGGGGCTATCGCTCGTTCGGGGGCGCGCCGTTCGCTCTGCCGGGCTGCCTCGCCGACGCGCGCGTTGGCAGGTGGGCGCCTCTCTCGACGCTGGGCCCCGCGCCCCCACTGCGCCTGACGCGCCCCTCCCTCGCGTGAGAGGTGGCTTGTGGCGCCGCGCTCTGCCGCCCGCGATGGGTCGCTGACCTGGCTGACGAGCCCCGCTGCGGTTCCGCCTTGCCGTCCATTCGCTTTTCCGTGGTCGCCGAGCACTTGCGCGCCGCCTGACCTGCTCGGTCCTTTTCCTGGACCTGGTCACGTTCTAATTCATCCGCCGTTTTGGTGTGCATCGAGGTCGTCCTGGCCTTCGTCGGCTTCAGCTTGGACCGCCATTTCGTCAGCGTCGGTGTCGCCTGCTGGGTGGAAGCGTAGACCGCTCCTGTTGCTTGGGGCCTAATTTAGCCCGCTGCTCGTTGGCTGCGCGTTGACTTGACGCCGTGCGATGTGCGGCGACGGTCGCGATCAAATTTTCCTTGCGAAGGACCCAACCACATGCAGTTGTGGGTGCCGCAATTGTGAAAATCTTCTTCGGTGAAACTCCCCATGGGGCCACGAAGCGCTGCGCTGAGAGGGGGGGAACGCTGTTCTGGGTGAGTTGTGTGTCAAGTAAGGTTTCAGGGGCGTATGCGGGCGGCCCCGCTGGGGGCTTCGGTGGAGCTCCCTATGAGGCCACGAAGCGCTGTACTGGGTAAGCGAAAATGCCAACTTGGGCTTCTGGAGCGCATGCGGACGGTCCCACTGGAGGCTTCGGTGGAACTCTCTATAGGGCCACGAAACGCTGTGCTGGGTGGGTGAAACTGCCAAAGTGGGCTTCCGCGGCGCATGCGGACGGTCCCACTTGGGGCTTCGGTGGAGCTCAAAAAGGAGCCACGAAATGTTGTATTGGGTGGGTAAAAATGCCACGTTGGGTTTTCGGGACGCATGCGGACGGTGGCACTGGGGCCTTCGGTGGAGTTCCCTACGGGGCCACGAAATTTTGCACTGGGTTGTCTGAAAATGTCACAATGGTTGTTTCGGGACGCTTGCGGACGGTCCCACTGGGGCCTTCGGGCGAGCTCCCTGTGGGGCCACGAAACGCTGCACTGGGTATGCGAAAATGCCACATTGGGTGTGCGGGACGCATGCGGACGGTGGCACTGGGACCTTCGCTGGAGCTCACTGTGAGGCCACGAAACATTGTAATGGGTAGGTGAAAATGCCAAATTGGGTGTTTCAGGACGGACTCGAACGGTCCCACTGGGGGCTTCGGTGGAACTCTCTGTGTGGCCATGAAACGCTGTGCTGTGCTGTGTGTGTGTGTATGTGTGTGCGTGTGTGTGTGTGTGTGTGTGTGTGTGTGTGTGTGTGTGTGTGTGTGTGTGTGTGTGTGTGTGTGTGTGTGTGTGTGTGTGTGTGTGTGTGTGTGTGTGTGTGTGTGTGTGTGTGTGTGTGTGTGTGTGTGTGTGTGTGTGGGGGGGGGCGCATGTGGGCGATGGCGCTGTGACCTTCGGTGGGGCCCCCTATGGGGCCACGAAACGCCGCTGTGCTGAGTGGGGGGGCGCATGTGGACAGTGGCACTGGGGCTTTGGGTGGAGCTCCCTATGGGGCCATGAAGCGCTGTGCTGAGTGGTGGTGGTGGTGGTGGGGGGGGGGCGCATGTGGACGGTGGCACTGGGCCTTCGGTGGAGCTCCCTATGGGGCCACGAAGCGCTGTGCTGAGTGTGCGGGGGGGGGGGGGCGCGCATGTGGACGGTGGCACTGGGGTCTTCGGTGGAGCCCTATGGGGCCACGAAGCGCTGTGCTGAGTCGGGGGGGGGGCGCATGTGGGCGGTGGCATTGAGGCCTTCGGTGGAGCTCCCTATGGGGCCACGAAGCGCTGTTCTGAGTGCGGTGGGACGCATCTGGGCGGTGGCACTGGGGCAATCGGTGGAGCTCTCTACGGGGCCACGAGGCGCTGTCCCGGGCACGGGAGACGCAAGTGGACACCGTCACTGGGGCCTTCGGTGGAGCTCCCCATGGGGCCACGAAACGCTGTCCTGGGCGTGGGGGCGCATGCGGGCACCCCCACTGGGGCCTTCGGTGGAGCTCCCTATGGGCCACGTTACGCTGTCCTGGGCGTGGGGGACGCATGCGGGCACCCCCACTGGGGCCTTCGGTGGAGCTCCCAATGGGGCCACGAAGCGCTGTCCTGGGCGTGGGGGACGCATGCGGGCGTCCCCATTGGGCCCTTCGGTGGAGCTCCCCATGGGGCCACGAAGCGCTGTCCTGGGCGTGGGGGACGCATGCGGGCCCCCACTGGGGCCTTCGGTGGAGCTCCCTATGAGGCTACGAAGCGCTGTCCTGGGCGTGGGGGGTGCATGCGGGCACCCCCACTGGGGCCTTCGGTGGAAATCCTTATGGGGCCACGAAGCGCTGTGCTGGGCGTGGGGGGCGCACGCGGGCACGCCCACTGGGGCCTTCGGTGGAGCTCCCTATGGGGCCACGAAGCGCTGTCCGGGGCGTGGGGGGCGCATGTGGGCACCCCCTCTGGGGCCTTCGGTGGAGCTCCCTATGGGGCCACGAAACGCTGTCCTGGGCGTGGGGGACGTATGCGGGCACCCCCACTGGGGCCTTCGGTGGAGCTCCCTTATGGGGCCACGATACGCTGTGGCGTGGGGGACGCATGCGGGCCCCCTCATTGGGACCTTCGGTGGAGCTCCCTAAGAGGCTACGAAACGTTTGAGGGGTGTACCGGGAGCAGAGGCAATGCTGGGGGAGGAGGGAGGAGGGGGAGGGAGAAGCGGGAGGAGGAAGGAACGCGGGGCGCTGTCTCGTCAAAACGAGGACCCGACACCACAGGATGGTTGGGAAAAGTATCCCCACCAGCCCATCCAGAAACGATGCCCATGAGAGCTGACGGGGGAGAGAGGAAAAAGGCATATAGTCAAACAGCACGGGCAACAAGAGTGTACTTGGGTGCCTCGGGGATCGTCTTGAGGCCTGTTGGGGGCCTTTGAGGGGCCTAGTGGGGGCCTCTTGGAGGGCTCTTGGAACCGTCTGGGCGCATTTTTGGGCCCTTCTTGGGGCGCTCTCGGGAGCCTTGGGGGCGCTCTTGGGGCCATCTTGGAGGAGATCGATCAAAGAAGGGGGGGTCCCCAATTAAGGCACCCCTTCAGGAACACCGAAAATGGCTTCTTAATTGGGCCCCTCCTGGCGCGCTCTTGGAGCGCTCTTGGGCGCTCTTGGGGCCGCCTTGGGGCTCTCTTGGGCCCCGAAGGGGGAGGTCGCAATTAGCGTTGCCCTTCGGGGGCCCCCCGCGTCGCCTCTTGGAGCGCTCATGGGGCGCTTTTGGAGCGCTCTTGGGCGCTCTTGGGGCCGTCGTGGGTCTCTCTTGGGCCCCTGTAGGGGCTATCTTGGGACATCTTGGAGCTAGGTTGAGGCTTCAGATGGGCATTGGAAGCGCAAAGGCGAGAACGCCAAACACATTGATTTTCTTTTGGGTTTTGAAGCATTTTGGCTTGTTGGGGACATCCTTGGGGAGCTCTTTTGGCCACTTGGAGCCGTTTTGTTGCGGCCTGTCCAGGTCTAGGGGAGGGGGCAAGGGGGAGGGGTAAACCCTTTCCCAAAGGGGAGGAACGAGGGGTGGAAGAGGAAACGCCCTAAACCACCGACGCCCAGAAGGCTGGTGGGATGTTTGGTTCCGGGCACCTAAAAGAGTCTTCAAGACTGAGGACTGAGGCTCGGTGTATTTGGCAAATGAATTGAGGACGCGCCCACTCCGTGCCCAGAGGCACGGTGGCGGATTATTGAACACTTGGTTACGTTTTCAGACCTTTCTCCTCATACTGTGCATATGCGGCCCTTCGGTACGACTGGGGGCACGAATCTGGAGCAATGTACAATGTGGTTTCGGGAGCGCGAATCTGGTGCAAATTACGGGCTGGCGTAATTTACGACAGATATGGCCTCGAGCGGAGATCTGGTGTAACTCGCCAGGGGGCATGGCTTCGGGGGTGCGAATCTGGCGCATTTTACTAGGGATTATTGTTCAGGGAGCGCGAATCTGGAGTAGTTTGCGTGGTGTTTTGGCTTCGGGGGCACGAATCTGGCATTTCTTACGTGGGATTCCGGCCTCGGGAGCAGGACCCTGGTGTAATTTATATAGGGTTCTAGGCTCCGGGGCGCGAATTGGGCGCGTAGTGCAGAGAGGGCGTCTGGCTTCGGGAGCGCGAATCTGTCGTAGTTTACGGTGGGTTGTGGCTGTTGGAACGCAATTCTAGCATCCTTAAATCGGGACTCGAATCTGGGTCAAACTGCAAGGAGTTGAGTTTGGCGTCGGGGGGGCGAGTGCGGCGTACATTAGGACGGGATCTGGGTTCGGGGGCGCAGATCTAGCGTATTTCAATTGGGTTCTGGCCTTGGGCGCGCGAATCTTGTGTATGTATATATCACGAGGGATTCTGGCCTCGGGAGCGCGAACCTGGCGCAATTTTGTATTTGGCACACCAAGCGTGCGTTACTGCAGATTCTGGCTTTGGGAACACGAAGCTGACGTTACTCGGGGGCATCATTTTGGCTCAAGCTATTTTTGGTTACAACTGCATACACAGACACTCGATTGTCCCCAGCGGCAGGCCCTGCGGCGACGATGACCCACATGCCTTCCATCATGCGCGGACGCCACCGCGCATTCCTTATCCATAACGTGCTGAGTTGTTATGTGTGCGGCCAAGTATTGTGGGAAGATCGCGCCCAGCAAGGTGACAACGTCAGTGCGCAGGACATGCAACTTTTCCAGTTTCTCCTTCTCTCGCGCCAGGAGGCCACCGATAGTTGCAGCGCGTTCCGATTCGCCAAGGCTGCCCCGTCTGCGTGCTATCCAAGGGATGGCGGAGCTTCTGACAGCCTCGCTAACACCGTCGCCGTGAGCGTCCGTGGCTTCGATAACGACCAGGTCCAGCGCGCAGTGTCCTACTTGGGAGATAACGCTTCGTTTGCGCACCTTGCGGCGGATCTGGCTTTCGATACGAACGCCGCGTACAGGCCGACGCACGCGGACGACGCGGACGCAGCAGACCAGGCCCGGTTCTGGAATGAGTTTGAGGATGTGGTGACGGCCCAACTTCTGAGGAGGAACGGGGCTCTCACTCAGGATATCATGTCCGTGCATCCGCTCTTCGCCGGGGACACAATGGAGCAGTCCGCCCAGCGCGTCCGTGCGGACTTCCCCACGCAGTTTCCTACGGAGCAGATTATGAGCTACTTGGGCAGCATGGCGCTCACAATGGACCCGGAAATCTTCGGCCAGGCCAGTTGCGCGAGCACGGTCGAGTTTGTGAACGGCCCAGTGGCTTTAGGGAGGATGATCGGCTGGGCGATCGCAGAGGTGTCGCCCGCCGCCTTCGCTTGCAAGTGGTACGTCGGCCGCGCGCGGCCCGAGGAGGTTGCGTACAACCTCAGCCAGGGGGGTTTGAGCCAGGCCCCGGCCAACGTCAGGGCGATGGTGGACGGCATGGGCTTGACCGCGCGCGAGTCTTTCACCGCCTATTCAGAAGGGTGCCCCGTGCACCCAGCTTGGCCGGCTATGCATTCGGCGGCCTCCTCTCTGTCGACTTGGCTTGACGTCGTGGCCCTCCTGACCCCAGCGCAGCGCAATGAGGTGCGACTCCTGGATTACTCTGTTGCTTACTTCCGCGCGTTCGCAGGCGTTCACTACGATTCTGACAACCGTGCCGGCCTGGCACTCGGCCAGAAGATCGCGAGGGAGAAGTTGCCGGACTACCTCTCGGAGAAGTACGGCTGCGACGCCGCCAGCAAGGCCGCGATCAGGTCGCGCGTGCAGACCAAGATCGCGTCGCTGGAGGTTCTGGATTGGGCAACTTGGACGCCTGATCATTGGATTCGCCCCTCCGCGTACTACTCCTCACTCCGACGCCGACAAGTGGATCGCGTGCTGCCCAAGAGCCAGAGCGGAGCATCCCTGTCTTCCACAGATACGACTGCGGCTATCATGAAGCCGTCTGTGGCGCTGTGGGCCGGAGGATCCCACGGCAGCCCGCGAGCCGCCCAACGGAAGGCGCTGGCGGGCAACGACGGGTGCACCGAGTATCGTTTTGGAAAAGCTGCTGAAGGCGCATGTTACCCGCGGAGCGGTGGAGCCTCCGACAGCTTGAGGGAGACCGCCGCCGTCAGCGTCCGCGGGTTTCACGGTAACGACCAGGTCCAGGCTGCTGTGTCCCACTTGGGCGCGAACGTTTCGTTTGCACAAGTCGCTGCCGACTTGGATTTCGACACGAATGTTGCACTCAAGCCGACGCACGCGGACGACGCAGACGCCGCCGACAAGAGTAGATTTTGGGCGGAGTTCGAGGAGGTGGCGGCAGCCCAGCTTCTGAGGATTCAAAACCGCAGAACAGAAGAAATCATGTCTGTGCATCCACTCTTCGACGGGGATACGATGGAGCAGTCTGCCCAGCGCGTCCGAGCTGACTTCCCCCCGTTCTTTCCGACGGAGCAGGTCATGGGTTATTTGCAGAACATGTCGCTGACGCTGGACCCCGACATCTTCAACCAGCCCAGCTGCACAAGCCGTGTCGAGTTTGTTAACGGCCCGGAAGCTTTGGGAAGGATTATCGGTTGGGCGATTGCCGAGGTGTCGCCCGCCTGCTTCGCTTGCAAGTGGGCCGTCGGTCGCGCGCGACCCGAGGAGGTCGCTTACGGAGTCATCCAGGGCGAGCTTCCCGATGCCCCCATGCGGGTCAAGCAGATGATGGCCGACTTCGTGGCCGCCAAGCCTGTGAACAGCGCCGAAGACTTCACCGCGTACACCGAGGGCTGCCCTGTGCACCCGGCCTGGCCCGCCATGCACTCCGCCGCCTCCAGCTTGTCCTCGTGGTTGGACGTCGTTGCCATCCTCACCCCCGCGCAGCGCGAGGAGGTGCGGCTCCTGGACTTCTCTGTCGCGTTCTTCCGCACCTTCGCGGGCGTTCACTATGCGACGGATAACCGCGCTGGCTTGGCGCTTGGGCGGAAAATCGTGGAGTCGAAGTTGCCCGACTTCTTGGCCGAGACGTACGGCTGCGACGCGGCGTCCGCATCCGCGATCAGGGCGCGCGCCGCAGCCAAGATCCAGTCGTTCAATTCGGACACCCTGAGCGGGCACCCCTTCAGCTGGGCCACTTGGACACCCCAGAAGTGGATCAGCCCAACGCAGTTCTTTGACGCATCCGGCAGCGCCATCGGTGACCCACACATGCGGAACATGTTCGGTCAGAGCTTTGACATCGCGCGGACTGGCGAGCACGTGCTCATCAATATTCCACAAAAATGTGGCCCAGATGAGATTCTTCTTCGCGTGGGTGCGGAGGTGCGAAGCGACCGACATGCACATTGCGCGACCGACATGTACATCAAGGCGCTCAACATCACTGGTGCGTGGGCCAATAAGCAGCAGACGAATGGCTTCAGGTACTTGGCGAGCCATCGTGATCAGCGCCAGCCATGGAGGTGGTTCGGCAAGGTTGAGCTGAAGGTGGCGTGGGGCCGCACGCGCGACGGGGAAGATTACCTTAATTTCTATGTCCGCCACTTGAGCACTGTTGGTCACGCGGTCGGGGGTATCCTCGGCATCGACGATCATTCAGAGGCATCATCCCCGGACGAGAGGTGCAAACGCTCCCTCACGCTCGCAAAATACGCGGATTGAGTCGGACGCTCGTGCTGCGCTTGCGAGCTAACACTAAGAGCTCGTGTAGACTCTGCATGCCTCATACATTGGTTGTATGCCTGTGTGGAGTAGTGTCGTATGAGGGCATGAGAGCCCCAAAGGGCCCCAACCGAGCCCCAATATGACCCCCAGGATCGCCCTCGAGACGACCCCAGAATGCAATTTCGCCTGAGACATCCTCACCACATTGATATGTTCGTAACGTCGATCTTATATCAGACATAAGCGTTTCGCCAGAGACATCCCCCAACAAATGGGCAGCCGCGAACTTGACATATGTTCAGAAACTGGTGTATCGCCTGAGATATCCTCACACGAATGATATGTTGGAGAGGCGGTTTTATTACCTCTCATGTAAAAATTGCGCTGTCGCTGCAGATATCCTTAGAAAATCGGGCGGAGCACGGCAGACGAACAAAAAACACGGCAGATAATGAGTATTTCTGCCGTGCTCATTCGTTTTTGGGGTCTATCTGCCGTTCTCTTTAGCGCTTGGGGTATACTCTGCCGTCTGGTCTTCTTCTGCCGTACTCCTTCGCTATTCGGGCCTGTTCTGCCGTGCTCCTGGTCTTTTTCTGCCGTCCTCCTTAGCTCTTGGGGTCTACTCGGCCGTGCTCCTGGTCTTTTTTTACCGTTCTCCTTCGCTCTTCGGGCTTCTTCTGCCGTGCTCCTTAGCTCTTGGGGTCTATTCTGCCGTGCTCCTGGTCTTTTTCTGCCGTGCTTCTTCGCTTTTGGGGCCTCTGCTGCCGTGCTCCTCAGCTCTTGGGGTCTATTCTGCCGTGCTCCTGTTTTTTTCTGCCGTGCTCCTTCGCTCCTGGGGCCTATTCTGCCGTGCTCGTCTTTTTCTGCCGTGCTCCTTCGCTCATGGGGCCTATTCTGCCGTGCTCCTGGTAGTTTTTCTGCCGTGCCCCTGAGCTCCTGGGGTCTATTCTGTCGTGCTCCTGGTCTTTTTCTGCCGTGCTTCTTCGCACTTGGGGCATCTTCTGCCGTGCTCCTTGTCTCTTGGGTTCTATTCTGCCGTGCTCCTCGTCTTTTTCTGGTTTGCTCCTTCGCTCTTCGGGTCTATTCTGCCGTGCTCATGGTATTTTTCTGCCGTGCCCCTGAGCTCTGGGGGTCTATCCTGCCGCGCTCCTGGTCTTTTTCTGCCGTGCTCCTTCGCTCTTGGGGTCCATTCTGCCGTGCTCCTTCGCTCTTGGGGCCGATTTTGCCGTGCTCCTGGTCTTTTCTGTCGTACTCCTTGGCCCTCGGGCCTTTTCTGCGGTGCTTCGGTCTTTTCTGCCGTCGTCCTTAGCTCTTGGGGCATCTTCTGCCGTGCTCCTGGTCTTTTTCGGGCGTTTTTTTTTCGCTCTTGGGGCATATTCTGCCGTGCTCCTTAGCTCTTAGGATCTATTCTGCCGTGTTCCTGGTCTTTTTCTGCCGTGCTCGGCAGCTTTCGGGGTCTATTCTGCCGTGCTCCTGGTTTGTTTCCGACGTGCTCCTTCGCTCATGGGGCCTATTCTGATGTGCTCCTGGTCTTTGTCTGCCGTGCTCCTTTTTTTTTTTAAATTTTTTTTTTTGTTTTTTCTCCCCCCCGTCGTGCTCCTTCGCACTTGGGGCATATTCTGCCGTGTTCCTTGTGTCTTGGGTTCTATTCCGCTGTGCTCCTCGTCTTTTTCTGGTTTGCTCCTTCGCTCTTGGGGTCTATTTTCCCGCACTCCTTCAGCTCTCGGAGTCTACTCTGCCGTGCTTCTGTTTTTTTTCTGCCGTGCTCCTTCGCTCGTGGGGCCTGTTCTGCCGTGCTCCTGGTCATTTTCTGCCGTGCTCCTTAGCTTTTGGGGTCTATCCTGCCGTGCTCCTGGTCTTTCTCTGCCGTGCTCCTTCGCACTTGAGGCGTATTCTGCCCTGCACCTTAGCTCCTGGGGTCTATTCTGCCGTGCTCCTGGTCTTTTTCTGCCGTGCTCCTTCGCTCTTGGGGTCTAATCTGCCGTGCTCCTGGTCTTTTTTCTGCCTGCTCCTTAGCTCTTCAGGTCTAGTCTGCCGTGCTCCTGGTCTTTTTCTGCCGTGCTTCTTCGCTCTTGGGGCCTCTGCTGCCGTGCTCCTCAGCTCTTGGGGTCTATTCTGCCGTGCTCCTGTTTTTTCTGCCGTGCTCCTTCGCTCATGGGGCCTATTCTGCCGTGCTCGTCTTTTTCTGCCGTGCTCCTTCGCTCTTCGGGCCTATTCTGCCGTGCTCCTGGTAGTTTTTCTGCCGTGCCCCTGAGCTCCTGGGGTCTATTCTGTCGTGCTCCTGGTCTTTTTTCTGCCGTGCTTCTTCGCACTTGGGGCATCTTCTGCCGTGCTCCTTGTCTCTTGGGTTCTATTCTGCCGTGCTCCTCGTCTTTTTCTGGTTTGCTCCTTCGCTCTTCGGGTCTATTCTGCCGTGCTCATGGTATTTTTCTGCCGTGCCCCTGAGCTCTGGGGGTCTATCCTGCCGCGCTCCTGGTCTTTTTCTGCCGTGCTCCTTCGCTCTTGGGGTCCATTCTGCCGTGCTCCTTCGCTCTTGGGGCCGATTTTGCCGTGCTCCTGGTCTTTTCTGTCGTACTCCTTGGCCCTCGGGCCTTTTCTGCTGTGCTTCGGTCTTTTCTGCCGTCGTCCTTAGCTCTTGGGGCATCTTCTGCTGTGCTCCTGGTCTTTTTCGGGCGTCTTTTTTTCGCTCTTGGGGCCTATTCTGCCGTGCTCCTTAGCTCTTGGGGTCTATTCTGCCGTGCTCCTGGTCTTTTTCTGCCGTGCTCGGCAGCTTTTGGGGTCTATGCTGCCGTGCTCCTGGTTTGTTTCCGACGTGCTCCTTCGCTCATGGGGCCTATTCTGATGTGCTCCTGGTCTTTGTCTGCCGTGCTCCTTTTTGTTTTTTTTCTTTTTGCCGTGCTCCTTCGCACTTGGGGCATATTCTGCCGTGTTCCTTGTCTCTTGGGTTCTATTCTGCTGTGCTCCTCGTCTTTTTCTGGTTTGCTCCT